TGCTGGGTTCAGAATTAAATCAGGCTTTTAACAAGACCTGTTTTGCTTGTCAACGCTGCACTTACCATCATCATCTTCATCATCATCATCGGACTCCTCTGCAGGGGCTGCCTTGGCTGGTGCAGCTTTAGCGGGTGTTGCCTTTGCAGGGGTCTTCTTTGGTGGGGGAGCTTCCTCTTCAGAGGACTCCTCTGTAGACACATCACAAGAACTTAGTAGGTGATATTATGCTCAATTTGAGTACAATGATGTTTAACCCTTTCAACACTATAGTCCGCTTTACCGGTCTGCCGCTTTGATCCCGTCAACCCTGCAGACCGGTAACGCCGGCTCCGGTATATGGTGACTTTCTGTTACATTCATTTTGATTGTCTATCAGTGGGAATCCCCGTATGTGAACAAGCGACTCAGTCGTGAAAAAAATTATGCAAATAGGAATAATAACAGCTGCATACAGGGTTCTTGGCAGCGTCATAACAGAGTAATGACCCATTATGCTGCTGCCTGAAATAAATTCACTGCAAATTGGGCCGATACGTTGTTTTTGAGGGTACTTAATATGAAAATATTTAATGCTAGCGTAATCGTTGACGACCCTTCCCCCCGGTACGCTGTAAAGGAATCCTAGTGAGGACCCTGGCATATATTCCTAGTAATTCAAGCCAAAGTTACTTAGTGTTGACAAGGTTAACAAATCCAAATTTGTGTGTTACATGTGTCATCAAAAAAAAATACCTAACTTCGTGCACATCCATCACATCTGACCAATGTCTAATGCATTTAAAGGCAAGTGTGTCACTTTCCTAGACGTTCAGATAGCCCGAAAATAGACTTCAGGGCAACAAACTATTTTTTTTCATGTATATTTTCTAATGTGTAGTATAAGAAAAACACATACGCAAATAAAGTCAGATTCAACAGCCCAAACTCCCTTGCACTACAAATCCTACTCATTTAAAGACATGACACGTGAGAGTCAGGTTGCATGCAAATAAACAATTTCACTTACCAGAATCATCGTCGTCATCATCGTCATCCTCACTTTCTGCTTTTTTGGCAGCAGTACCGTTTTTAACAACCGGGGTGGCTTTAGCTGGTGTGGCTTTCTTCACCACTTTGGGGGGAGGGGCCTGCAAATAAAACAAGAAACATTTGAGTTTACTCTTTAAGTGGCTTTAGACATGCACACAAAATACTCAAAGACATGAAACTGAAACAGGCCGTACCTCCTCTTCCTCATCACTGCTGTCCTCTTCACTAGATTCCTCCTCCACTTCTTTAGGGGGCGGAGGAGCCTTTTTCTTCTGATTTGCTTGATTATTTGCTGCCTGCAAGAGAAAAAATAATTTTAAAAAAAGATTAAAATTCACTTTGCCTCCAACATGCAATGCATAAGGTTAACTACCTAGGAAGTACTTGCAATTATGGCACTCCAGGTAAATGCACGTCAGCATGTTTGCTGCCATGGGGGGCTGACACCATGTGGTTCTTTACAGTTCAACACTAAAGCCCCCACCTTTTTAGACGCTGATGATTTAATCATTCTACAAATTAACTAAGCCGGTTGAACAGGAAACCCTTTCGCGATAGCTGCCTGCGTGTATGATAATGTGTATCTCGGTTTTGGTTGCTCGCCTCGTGTGTCACTCCGAGCAGGCGCACAACCCACGTGGAGCTTAAGGGGTCGGCCAGCTAGCATGTCGGCTAATTTTACCGTTTGCGGTCAAACTTTTACATTTACACCGACCAGCTATCAAAAAGCGAGCAATTAAACTGCATGTTAAATGATTAACGTTAATTAAACGAGCTACGGCAAAGCATAGATACGTTAGCAAATAGAAGGAAACGTGCGTCAACTATAAATTTGGACCGTGCTAATGCTAACGGTTAAATCATGCTAACACGATGCGCAGACGTCTGGTTTTACAAGATTATCCGTCAAATGTTTGCACTGCTGGCCGGGTTTCGTTGGATATTTAATTTATTTTCTTCTCTGCATGTATAAACTCCATGCTCACGTCGAGGACGCGCATGTATGCCATCTTGAGTGTTCGTTTAGCGTTTAGCGGACCAGGCCCGGGAGCCGAGCAGCACAAAAACATGGCTGATCTCCGGCCGAGAAGAAACGATTAGTGCGGAACGATTTCACCACGCTTTCTCGACGGAGCAGACTCTTTAAAAAAAACGCCATAATTTTAGAAAAATAATGCACGCTTTGCCGCACACGAGCAGGCATTTTTAATGCGCGTTAGTTCCCCTATTTTCTCACACACGCAGCAACTTGTGCGCGGAGGCCTCATGCGTAAACACAGCTTCATTTCTACCACAGGGCGCGTACACATACGATTTAACAATAAAAAAAAAGACGTCATTCGGCCTTACCTTTGCTAGCTTCACCATGATGCTGCTGTGGTGTGTTTCAGTGAAACACGAAGAGCTGGACGTTTGAAGACAATTAACAAAAACAGCTACTGTATGCACGTGGCCGTGCCTACTCGGTGGGACATTGGACAGGAAAGACAGATTAGACGAAGACGCGCTCCTTACTCTCCTGCTCTGCGCGCTCACGCGGACCCGCCCACATGACCGCGTCCGCCAATCACAAGTTGATGTTTTTACATCGTGGCTGCGCATCGCCTACATACAAGCAGCATGGAAATAATATTACGACACAGAGACACACTACTAAACGTTGCCTCGTTATATAAAAGAATTAATGAAATAAACAATTACGCGATAGTGTCTGTGTTTCCTTTTAAACCAGTGCTGTAATATTCAGAATTTAACGAGGAACTTTCATTTTCACGTTTTAAATGTTAAAAGAAGTAGGAATGATCGACAGTTTCACGTCATAAATAAATACATATACACATAAAAAAAAGACATACATTGCGTGGTAGCAGTACAAGGCGTCTATAGACTCCATGCAGCTGTTTAAGTGAACCACGTGGGTCTGGCCACTTGCCTGAAGCCGTCAACCACATGTGGCATCATGTGTATGAAAAAAAAAAACAGAGCACAGACAGGATGGTAGTACTCATTCATTTGTACACATTTACAGTTTCACTTTACTTTAGTGCTTCAATTTCATGTCACTTTATCCACCATAAGAGGAAAACCCAACTGTTTAAATCTTCTACGTTGTTAAATTACCATCTGCTGCTGGGCAGATTCATATTTTATACATCCATCCATCCACTATCTATACACCGCTTAATCCTCACTAGGGTCATGAGGGGCTGGAGTCTATCCCAGCCGACTTAGGGTGAAGGCAGGGGACACCCTGGACAGGTAACCAGTCTATCACAGGGCTACACTTAGAGACAGACAACCAAGCACACTCACATTCACACCTACGGACAATTTAGAATCACCAATTAACCTCAACATGTTTTTGGACCTTGTGGGAGGAAGCCGGAGAACCTGGAGAGAACCCACGCTGCACGGGGAGAACATGCAAACTCCACGCAGAAAGATTCCGGTGCCCCCACCGGGACGCGAACCGGCATATTTTATACATATAATCATAAAATGCTTTATATTGCTGGTTAACCCACTTGGTCAAACATTTTCTAACCAGCTGCAATAATAAATTCATACTGATGTTGTCAAAATCATATGAAAGCATCCTGACTATGATCTAATGTAAAATATCATCCCCAGGGGATATGAACAGCACATCTGAGTAATTAACCCTGAACGCCACACAGAGGCAGCATTGCATTTTACATCCCTCACTCACAGCGGAGCCTCGGTGAAACAAGGCTGCCTGTGTTTTCATCAGTGAGATGTGAATTTGCTGTGTGAACATTGTCTTTATAGCAGATGTTGTGCCTTCATTCACACTTGTCAGGTGTCTCTCTTAAACTCTGGTGTCTTTTTTGTGCAGAAAAACTCAAAAAATTAATCCTATCAAAGTCTCCCTCCCACTTTACACCCTCTTAAACTCACATCATTCCACAGTGCCAATATATTCTTCATCTCTAGTTCTTGCTGTGACTCTCCTGCTCTGTGATCACTAATGTTTCTTTGATTGTTACCATGTCAGAGTGATTGAAAACTCTGTAGGTTAGTGTAGTACTACGCAGAGGCAGTATATGAACGAAGCAGTTCTCCACCTCCCCCTCAGTCTGCACCTGTTACGTCCTGCTGTCTCACAGGAGTGGATTAAATAGAGTAAATACAATCAGCCACAACATTAAAACTGAATTGAAGTGAATGACACTGATTATCTAGACAATGCGATATTATTTTGACACGTGACCCACCTGAACATTGTTCCAGACAAAGCTACACTTTTGAGAGGATTTTCTTCATCACAGTTAATTATTCCTGCAACCACACAAGGTGCCATAAAGTGAGATTGGAACTCAGCTGTGAAAACAAGCAGAAGTAAATCCCAAGTAAAGTTTCCTAATGTGCAATAAGTGTGAAACAAAACGTGTGTCACAGTCACAAAGAAGCAAGCAGCAGTTTCCCTTCAGGGCCTTTTTTATTCTCTGTTGCAGACTAATATTGAAACTTTTTTTTTTACAAGAGGGCGATATCCACATCCTGCATGAATTATAATGCATCAAATATAACAGAAAATCTAAGTAGGCCACATTTACACCACAATTTAATGACAAAAATAAATAAAAGAACGGGAGAATCAGGGTAAAAACAAATGCAAGAAATCTGATGATCCAGTCATTTTGTCATTAAAACCTCAGCGTGTAGGTTTTGTTGTGATGTTTCTAGCTGTAGTATTCACTTTCTGTTTCATTATTTTGGAATGTGTGAGCCACGGGGAGAAAATAATCCCGTAAGATATTGCACATTTACTGTTATGCAATCTTTTATGTCAGATTTTATTGCACCCATGAGACTACTTTTTTTTTGTTTGCTTGTCCTCAATGAAAACCTTCAACAAACAGCAGCTTTGCCACAAATCTTGGCTTAACACAACTCGCAATGCAGAGCACTGAGTTTGAGACAGTGTTCCTCCCTGTTGCTGTGCTTCATCTTGCGACAGGTGTTGTCTTGATTCAACACATTGTTTCCTTTCCTTTCTCAGGTGCCCATTTGTGCCCATTTCGCCCCCTGCAATTACAACATCAGCTACATGAGGCGTGTGTGTGTGGTGTCTTTGTGATTCTCTGTGTCAGTTAAGCTCTTGTCCTGCAGCGTAGCAGACTGTACTATAGGATATGCATGGTGCTGGAGTGGTGCTGACTCCGGCCTTTCTGAGTGCATGTTCTTCCTGCGTGGGTTTTCTCTCCAGGTGCTCCACTTTCTCTTACAGTGCAAAGACAAGCCTGGTAGGTCGACTTTTGTCCCTCTGTTAACCTCTTCTTCGCCTAGTGTCAGCTCCAATAGCTTTGCACAGACCTTTCCCATTTAGTGAAATTTCTTTTGTAGATAAAAGCTGCAACATTATGGTAAATGGTCACTTATATAATGCTTTTATCAAAAGTGCTTTACACTGTGTTTCTCATTCACCCGTTCACACACACATTCACACACCAGTGGCGACAGAGCTGCCATGCAAGGTGCTGCCTGCCATTGGGAGCAACTTTGGGTTCAGTGTCTTGCCCACGGACACTTTGTGGAGGCGATCGAACCGCCAACCTTACGATTGGAGGACAACCCGCTCCACCACCTGAGCCACAGCCGCCCTAAGTTATATCAATCAATCAAACAAACTTTATTTGTATAGCACTTTTCATGCAACGAAAGCAACACAAAGTGCTTTACAACCATTAAAAACATGAAAACCCATCCCTCCCACCCTCCATATATACACACAACCATACACTCTCACCATCCTTACTATCCTCACTCCAGACATTTCTGTTCTCACTTACACACCGTACTATAGAAGTGCCATGTCCTCTTTTATGCCTTCACCAGATATTTGTCGTATGATTTGCACTCCATAAGAATCATCCTTTATATTGGGCCGCCGTGGCTCAGGTGGTAGAGCGAGTCGGTCGACGATTGGAAGGTCGGCGGTTTGATGCCGCCCTGTAACCTGTGTCATGGCCGTCGTGTCCTTGGGCAAGACACTCCATCCGCCTTACCTGGTGTGAATGCGTATGACAATCGTAGGTTACCAGCACCCTAATGAATGTGTGTGAATGACTAATTGACAGTGTGAAGCGTCTTTGAGTACCTAGAAAAGCGCTATATAAATCTGATCAATTATTATTAAATTCAGTTTATTGCAACATGATGGGGTTTTTTTTGCAACAGGTGTCTTCCCTTCTTGCTTCCCTTAACGCTTCGCTGCCCTCTAGTGTGGGAGTATGTTCATGCAGGTCATTAATGTTACACCCCTTGGTTGAGCACTTTTTTTTTTCTTCTTTTAGTTCTGTTGTATTTTCTCAACATATTTTTTTAGTTTGTTATCTGAAACATTAGCAGCACCGTGCAGGGCTTTGAATCCTGACTTGAATTTTAATTCTTCAGTCTGGGGGTGACCTAACTCTAATGAAAGCTATTGTCACACTCAGTACGCACATTTTATCCCCCTCTGAGACAGAATAAACAGAACCCGTAGATACTCCTCCATTACTTTTCTGAGTCTCAGCCGCTTCTGTGGGATTACACACGAGGAACAGCATGTCTCTGAAGCATCAGCTAGATAATTTATCGCCACCTTTTCCTCATGAACACACGTTCATGGACTCGCTATTGAAGGTTTTCATCTTATATTCTTCAGGAGCATGTTTGCTTAGGGCTTTTATTGTATTTTACACTGCTTTTTAAATGCATTTTTACTTTGGAACTTTTAGATAAGTGCATAACTCATTACTACAGTCGTCCTATAACTTGAATCGGTGGAAGTAAAGGCTTGACTTGGATCCAAGTTCCAAGCATCACTGCTACAAAACTTCATCTTTTATGTCCTCTAAATCTACCAACGTCGTATT